TGGTAACTTATGATAAGCATCAAGCACAACATTCAAGCGAAATATATTTGAAATGCGAACATACATTCAACAACAAACATGCAAAAAAAATAGCAATTCGATTTATGGAACATTGTTACATGCAGCATATGATTATTATAAGAGGGAGAAAGTGCGACTCCCATGTGGCTGTGAATAGATGACTGGATGGAATTGTGCGGCTCTTGTCTAAACCGACATCCCAAGAAGACATGCGAATATCTGAGAATAGATAGGAATGTTCGATTAGATTTTTCCACCTTGATTTGAATTTGAAATTGATTTTCTAATTGAAAATTCAATAAAAAGATGTTTTGAAACATGATCTAAGAATAATTTGAATAGACTCTTGTAACAAATCAGCATTATATGAAATAATAAATTTCTTTCTTTTTTTAATTTAATTGACTTTTTATTTCTTGAAACTCATTTATAAATTTAATACGTATAATCATGAATATTATTTCAATAAATATTAACATAAGGAACATTTCCATTTTACTTAAAGTTGAATAAATTGTGAATTTATCAATAAAATTTATTCTTATTTATTCTGATCATCATCGATGCTTTAAAAATTATTAAAAGATCATTGATTATTTTCTTTTTCTGTTCTTATTTATTCTTAATGATTATTTATGAAATCAAATCAGATACAGAAACTCCTTTAGAAATAAAGAACGTTAAAGTTAATACTTTTTTCTAATTTAAATAATGAATATTTTAGCCTGAGAATAGTTCATCGTACATTGATGTAAAGGGTGTTTCATAAATTTCGACACCTTCTTTATGTTTTTTTCTATCCTGCAGTATTCAATGGTGAAGAGATATGGAACATATATATTTCAATAGTAGCATCTACACTATCATAAGAGAAAACTTGCATTGGTTCTGCATTAACCATACGAGAGCACAACATCGTTCAAGATTTGAAGAGTTTTGCCGAAGTTATTTTTTATTTGTTCGCTATCGAAATTATCATAAATAGCATCCATTCTAATTTTTTCACTTCCTGTAAGTCATTTCTATCGTTCTGTTCTGATTTTAAGTTGTTCAAGTGAGAGAGAATTTCTATTCCCGTGCATATTTCAGAGGTGTGGATATTGCTACAGAGGAAGATAATGCCCATATCTCTGAAATGTAAACACACATACAAATTTTCTCTCATCAGAATAGCGTGCAATAAGAACAGAAAGATAGAAGTGACTCGCAGCGAATGAACAAATAAGAGTAGCTGCTACTTTTTTAATCGTAATAGTGAAAAAATAAAAAATGACTTTGCAAAAATTTTTTCCAAGCTTTCATCCATGTTGTATTTTGGCAGAGTTGATATAAAATTAATACAAGTTTTTTTTTATTGATAGCGTAGATATTACTGTTAAAATATATATATATTCCATATCTCTCCACCATTGAATTCAGCAAAATAGCAAAAAAAGAAATTGAAACTTAAAAAACGCCCCTTATTATTTCTTATTTGTACTATATAATGTAACCTGTCAATCACAATTAAATATATTAACTTGTTTTCTTATCTGATATAATTGATAGTTTTCAGAAGATAACCAATTAAATTCATCTAAAAATCTGTATAAATTTACAGTTTAGATTGTTTTAATATGTTATTTGTTTTTCTTTAGACTAAATACAATGTTGAAAATAAAACGACTCCGTGGATGTGAATATTCTTTTTACAGCATATTCACACGCACATTCCGTAACATGAAAGCTATCTATAGTCATTTATGATTTGACTATTCTTAGTAGTGATCATTCAAGTGGTTATCTTCTTTTTTTCGTTTATTGCTATAATTCATCATTCGAACAAACGAATTGATTCTCTTATTGCGATAAAATCAGTATTTCTCAATTAAAAAATTTAATTGAGCATTTTTAATGTTCAAAATAAAGAACTTATTTTTCTAGTAAATAAATAAAATAGAAAACTGAAGAATAGATTCTTATTTATTCATTAATGAATGCTGCACATAGCACATATTCAATACATTTGTTCAACGTAAGATATGTTAGCAGTGGGTTCACATTTTTCTTGCTGACATTTGCTCCTGAACTTGTGAGAATTCTCTGATTGGTTATGATGGATGCAGAACTCGCTTCATTGTCGAATGGTCATGTTGTCAAAGGAGACGCTTTCGAAAAACAAGGAATCTGTGTCGAAACACTGGATTATGAATGCACGTCGATGGTATATCTCGCTGCTCTCTTATCAGGGTTATTGAGGTGAGTGAAGCTAATGATAGATTTGTGTTATTGAACAAAACATTCGACTATCATGAATCGTGTAAAAATTGATATTGGATATGAGGGAAGATGAAAGATTTGCTCTTCACTGACACCCGCACTTATCTTTGCATCTATGTGCTAGACAAGTTTGGTAAATAAGACTGCTCGAATGATAGTAAGTGCTATGTAGTCAATTAAAAAAAGCTTGATTTTTTGAAGACTACTTGAAAATTAGCAATCCAACGAGACAAAAATCCTTTCACAATCATTTAACCATTCATCTTTAATAACTTTCTTCTGAAAATAAATTAAAAAAACACAATAATTCTTAATTCTTTTTTTTTCTGCAATACTTTTTCTTCATTCACAATTTTGAATTGGCATGAAAACTACGTAGCATTATAATATGTTAATACAAAATTCATGATTCATCTATAATTTAAATCTGTCTTCATCACACCCACACCCACGCTTTTATTGATAGTGAAATGAAAAATGAGCACTAAGAATAAATAACACCGGTTAATAATAAGCATCATTCGTTGAACTTGATTCATATGATTCCTCACTTGTCATTCTATGAAGAAGAAATACAACGTCTTTCGAGAAGGATTCGCTACAGTCTGTCTTGTGTAGCACGACGTTCTTCATCAATGGCTGGACGATTTCAACGTACACTGGTGGTGTTGGCGAGCGTTTGAATGTGACAACGAAAGTCAACACTCGATCGATCGACTCATCCATCGGCAATACCGAGTGATATTGATCAGTGTTCAACTGCATCAAGTCTCCTGGAAAGTGATACCTAAATCGTACATGCAGAGATTTTCCCAAGACTTCGTTGAAATCGGTAGGTTGTAACTCTGCTACCGTCATCAATTATTTCGCATTGTCTCTCGAGATATTCACCTGCTAAATAAAAGATATGAAAAGAATGCCAATGATTGTGAATGTAGATTTCAGAGATGTCGAGAAACCAATTTATTTGATATTCAATCGCTTTGTCTGTATCGTCTTGATCACAGCGCACTTGAATCATAACTTCAGGAACCGTGCGAACGTCATCATGACTTCAATTATCAACAGTTTTGCTAATAATATTCAAAGGTTCTACACGCACACTATCTCTCTCTTGATTCAATGCCATAACTGAAAAGTCTAATATCGACCCTAAATCGAATCGTCCGTTTCGAAATATGTTTGAAAATGAAATAAGATCGTAAGATTTCGCATGATTGAGTTGTTTTTGCCCAATGAAGCGTGTGAGACACAAAAAGAATTATTCCCATAGGATTTTGAAATCTTAATCTATTTCAATTCCTCAGTTTTGCCACTGGGTTGTTACTTGTTAATCTGCTTGAACATTCAATATTTTATTATCTGTTAATCAGTTTTAATATACAACTATTAATCGATTTTAAATCACTTGTATCCATATTTTTATCTCTTTCTATATAATACTTCTTTGTGTATAAAATGCTTCCCTGATTCGTATCCCGGCAGGTTTACTCATCTTATGTGTGTCTCCTACTTATGAAAGCAATCAGTTTCACTTTACTACTACTTTTTGGAATGTATTAAAAATGATTCATATTTTCGATAAACACGCTATTGATAAAAAGCAATTTTAACTGGATTACTTTATCTAAATTATATTTTGAAAATGGCACTAATATTTTTGGTGATCATGTATATTGTGTTTATGCGAGAACTTCTATCGTAATAAATATTACATGACATTTTTATCTACTGCAGTGTTGATAGCAATTAAAATTCCGCTCAAAATGTCTCGTATTAGTCCAAATTATTTGGTTCTCTATAGAACTTAGTGATATTCTCTCATATCTTGAAAATCGAATTATAGGCGAGAGAATCAAGAATAATTGATGAAGTGAATTATTATTTTCAATCAATTTATAAACTTTAATCAATTTCAATCGGATTTTCTGCAAAAAGTTGGAGATCCGCCAAAAAAAATGAGATCTTGACACTCAATCAAAAATAATCGTGATTTCTCATGAATATTTTTCACTAGGTACATATAGGTTGTTCTAAACTAGCGAACTAATATATTTTGCTATACAATGATGTGATTCTATATTTGTTCTATTGTTTTCCATCTATAACAATATACGTGGAAAACAACATCTTCCCCATGGGATATCAAACATGCGCTTATACGCTACCATGCTTAATGAAATAACACTAGTCAAATGAACAACTTTAAATAACTATAGATTTATTTTAACAAAAGTGGAAATTTATAATAGACAATTTCATAAAGAAAGACACATGAAATGACAGAATTTACTTTGGCATAAAAACTACAAAAATAAATCCTGTATAGACTAACTTTATGTTAGATAATACTGACAATTGTGCAATTAGATTTTTAGCACTTTTAAATAGTGACAATATGAGGTAACCATCGAATGTTTTTTATCTTTATATAGTTATACATGCAGGCTAGCTTAAGCTAGCGAACTGATGTATTTTACTAGACGATGACGTGATTCTACACTTGTTCTGGTTTTTTTCATCAAGACTGATCTAGGTAGAAAACAACGTTCTCCCCATGGGATATCGAACATGCGCTCATATGCTGCCATACTTAATGAAATAACATTGGTGAAGTGAACGACTTTAGGTAGTTATAAATTTATTTTCGCTGTTGTTAAAATAAATTTATAATTGTGTAATAAAATATGTATGAACAGGTGTAAGTGTTGATAATCAAGATGAACTATAAGTCGATTGTCTTTCGCGAGTTTACGCAAGAATCATTTCGACGTATTGAACATTATCGACAAGTAGAAGCTGAATGTATTGCTTCTGAACGATTAGAACGACCAACCATACCTGAAGACGATAATAATAAACGTCGTTGTATGAATAAGTCATCAGAAGATGAATCAATTAGTCACAAACAAGAGCCTAATAAAGAAATGGCCGTTGGACAAACATTACCACGACTTTTACAAAATAAATTTCCAGCTGAACTTATTGGAAAACCAATTGAAGAAATCGATTCGTATTATCGTGCAGAATATGTATGTATAATGTTTTGAAAGTATTTATTTTTATTCTTTTAAAATCATAGATATTTGTGGTTATTAATCGAAATAATACAATATTTCGATTTAGTGCAACACCAGCTTGTTTTATATTTTCTCCATTTAATTGCTTTCGACGTTTAGCTATACGTATATTAACACATTCACTTTTTAGTACCTTGGTTATGCTTACTATTTTAACTAATTGCATATTTATGACACTTAGAAATCCACCGGAAACGACTGAGTAGCTAATACTCTTTTAGTTTCTTCCTAATAACATCATGTTTTTTTTTTTTCTAATAAAAATAAATAGATACGTTTTTACAATAATTTACACACTTGAAGCATTAACAAAATGTGTTGCACGAGGATTTATTCTACAAAAATATACTTTTTTACGTGATCCATGGAATTGGTTAGATTTTATTGTAATTACACTTGCGTATGTATTAAAAAGATGATATATTTTATTCTGAATTTTTTGTTCGATTATTTTTAGATATATAACATTTTTTATCAATTTGGGAAATGTTGCAGTACTACGAACATTTCGTGTATTAAGAGCATTAAAAACTGTTGCAGTTGTACCTGGTATATTGTTTAATATATATAGATTAATAATTAATTGATATTTCTAGGTTTAAAAACAATTGTTAATGCTTTAATACAATCTTTTATTTCTCTACGAGATGTGTCTGTTTTATCAAGTTTTATTCTTTCTATATTTGCCTTGGTTGGAGATTTTTAAAAAAATATATTAGATAAGTTGTTCTTCTAATTATAGATAGGATTACAATTGTATATGGGCGCTCTTCGACAAAAATGTGTACAAACTTATGAATATTTCTTAAATAGTTCCAATTTTTCCAGTATTGGATTTAATATGTCATATGAATCTTATTTTCAAGAAATCGATAATGAAAGTATGTTGAGATATTTATTACAATGAATCGAAGAGATTTTCTATAAATTCATTAGTAGGAAAAATTCCGAAACTTGATGTTGTTAATTGATGATTATTTATTACATCAAGGAATTAACGTTGCATTGATTAGAGTAAACCACGAGTTTGAATATAAATGAGTCTTCAATTTTGTCAGATGAATTCGAAAATAAGTGAAAAAGAACCAGACCAGTACTTGTCTCTAGAGGAAATTAAAAAATTGTATTCGAATTATTAATTATAATTCAGATATAGTGTGATGAATAATGTCTGATTTTCTTTTTATTTAGAGAATAAGTAGAACTTGTTATGATAAATATTCACTACAGACCAGTACTATTCTCCACGTAATTGAATTTTTATATAAATGTCGCGGCATGCAGACGCGTAGCATCCCTCGAGAAGTCGTGACTTGTACACGTCTCTGTGTAAAAATCCATCGCAAAATTTATAGAATGTTCTTGTACGCCTTACTGGAATAACCGTTCAATCGAATGAGTGACCTTCAATTGTAACATCACCAAATGTCTGAAACTAACAGGTGGATTATTACTTAGATTTCAACTATAGTATTGCCGCTATCTGGGATGAGATTGTTGAAACACACACGCCTAAGAACAGCTAATAATACCACGGAAATATAGAGCACAGACATATCTCAATTATAATTTTTAAAACGATTTTTGTGTTTTATCTACAATGATTCTGATGTTTTTTTTTTCCAAATTTTCATTTATGTTCACATTCGAATTAGGAATATACTAATTTTTGCTTTTTCTTAGTCGAACAATTTTTTCGATAGATTTCTCGTTCGATTTTGCATCTTTCACTTAAACGGAACAACATACTTTATGTGTTTAGACCTAATGAAACGAATAGATTCATAATACATCAATTTAATAATTCTTTTTTCTTAACAAGTTTTCTACATTAGGGTTTTAGTGAGTGATTTTGTCCGGTACTCTTACAATTTATTTTTCAAAAAAAGCAACGTTCTGTTCCATTAGATCAAAAGTGTAAGAACGCTGAAGATGATCATATATACAAAATTTTAAAGAAGTTGTGCCAATTTCTATTTTATTGATCAAAAATAATGATCATTTGCCCAAAACGTTAAGTCTTCGATGATTAAGAGAAAGGCTGACAAAAAATAAAGAATTATGAAAGTGATGTATTATTAGTCCATGCGTTATATAGGGTCTGAGCAAATAAGGTAAACTGTTTCGTTTAAGTAAAAGATGCAAAATTGAATGACTTTACAGATCATCGGTTATTTTCATATAATTGTAAGTATCATATATGAGTCACTAAGAGTTGCAGTATAAGGTAATATATAGATGGACAGAATGGAGAAAAATATGTTCTTCGTAAGATGTGAAAACATATATCTTCTACTATCGGGATAGATATCCTAAGACAATTATACTAGAATGAATATCTTAATCTCTATTGAGCATCGGAGTGTACTATCATCGACGCTAACGATAATCTTTTATAATTTACTTTTCACTTTTACTTTTATAGCTTATTGGTATAAAGAAAATGATCTTTATGTTCTTTGCGGTAATGCAAGTGGAAGTACAAAATGTCCTAATGGTTATGTTTGTATGAAAGATCGAGGTCAAAAGTAAGTTTTTGTTTTTAATCATTAACTTAACAAACTTTTGTTGTTTTTAGTCCCGATTATGGATATACAAGGTAGACTTTATTTACTTTTGTTTTCATTTAAATTTCTGTTAATACAGTTTTGATAATTATGGTTGGGCTATGCTTGCATGTTTTCGATTAATGACACAAGATTATTGGGAAAATCTTTATCAATTAGTAAAACGACAAAAAAAAGCGAATTCTATAAATTATTATTATTATATTTTAATCTAGATACTATCAGCAGCTGGTCGTTATCATTTTCTATATTTTCTTGCTATCATATTTTTTGGTTCATTTTATTTGGTCAATTTAATCTTAGCTATCGTTTCCATGTCTTATCTAGAACAACAAAAACTAGTTGAAGCTGAAAATGAAGAACGTGAAAGACGTAAAATTCAAGATGATATTGAACTAAAAAATGAAGAAGCACAAAAAGCATCAGAAGCTCATGCATTTTTAAATGTTGAAAATGCACTATGTTTTGAAGATTCAAACCATAAAATTTCACATTCCGCTGTTTCTATTGAATATGAACAAAACGAAAAAGTAAATAATTAAGTTTCTTTTTGTTTTTTTTTTAAATGAAATAAAATTTTTAGAAAAATGAACTAAGTAACACACAATCATTTCAAATATTATCGTCAATTAACACAATGAAAAGGGATGCTATAAGAATACCAATTTTTAATGGAACACTACAAAATTCAGCAAATGAAAATAAAAAAAATCAACAAACAAGTAACTTTTCTCATTTATCAGAAGAAAATCAAAATAATATTGATTCACCTATTACAGTAAAAAGAAAATATATTATTATACTTGCTTTTCTAAAATTTATCTTAAAGCTTTATCAAGTTGAACCTCATATAAAATATGCTCCAATTGCTGAAATATTATCTGCTCAAGAATTGGATAGAACAAGTGTTCGCTTACAAAGTAAGTTGTATTATAATATATCTTATAAAACATTCATTGATTTATATGTCTGTTTTCAATTGATTATCTAGAACAGTATACTGTATTGTACAAAGTCGATCGTGGTACTGACAATCAGAACAATTTATTTGTTGAGAATGATCTTCAACTAACTGTGAATGAGTATGAACGGCAACTACAGTATCATTATAAAAGACATATGAACATTGTCGTTTCAAATATGGATAAAACTAATACATATGATCGAGCATTAGTTAAAATTCTACGAATTTATTGTCGCAAATGGAGTTGTGAGTCATCGATATTTCAAAAATTGCAAGTACGTTTTATTAAATATGACGTCTCGGTTCGAAAGTACTAAAACATATGAAGTGTCTCATTTGATGGCTTATATCAAAAGTACACAACAATACCTAAATTGTTTCGTCAATTGGATAGTTTCACTAGATTAGAGCAGCTTCTACAATAGTACGAAGTACTCGGAGATTGATTTGACCTCATAGCATAACAAGCTTGTTATCAAATATTAATACGAGACTCTTACATAGATAGTCCTCCAACTGATTAATCGCTTTTGAGTCATGGCTATGTCCATCGTGTAAACGCTAATAAGGAATGAATATTCTATAGAGAGTTCGAAGCCTATGCATATTGCTGTGGAAATATTGCATTTTTACGGTATATTTCAACTCAATACTGTACCCCCCCCCCCCTCCCCGTTCAGAAAACCACAAAAAGTTATTTTCGAATTTTGACTTGAAATTTATGCCAATATAATAAGAGAAAATCGAAAGCTATAAAAACTTTCACAATAAACCACTCTCATTAAGGTTAGTCTCTATGCAAAGTTTCAAGTTGAAATTCAAAAATTAAATTGCCTAGTCTTTCTGAGTTGGAGCATGGTATTATGCTAAAAAATACTGTAAATATACAATATTTCTGCAAAAATATGTCTAGAATCCGAATCCCAGACTTTCCTTGTTAGACAATTTGTCTCTACCGAATTTGAAGTATGATATTACAATGATATATGAGAAATACTGTAATTAACATTACATATTAGTTTCAACGAATATATTTATATCGGCCTCATCAATGCATAGTTATCTAAAATATTTCATCCATTGAAGATATTCATTCACTAGCATATTGTTATGATTCTATGCATGTAATAATTGTAAATTGTTTTTCGCTTTCAAATCACCTGATTTGTATACAATTCTCAAGCTATTATATCTTCAACGAGATTTTACTCATTTGATGGTCAACGTCATTTAGAAATCTAGATACTCTCTACTCATGATAAACCCATAATATATAGTCATATATCTTTTTATAGGCTGCTGTTGCTTTTTTTATATTGGATGCATTTGTTGATTTATTTATTACAATATGTATTATATTAAATACATTATTCATGGCACTTGATCAACCTGGTCAAAGTGAAAAGATGGCACGAATTTTAACGGCAGGCAATTATGTGTTTACAACTATATTTACAGCTGAATCTGTATTAAAAATAATTGCAATGACACCAGCTAAATTTATAAAAAATGGATGGAATGTATTTGATTTATTAATTGTTACAGTTAGTCTTATTGAATTAAGTCTTGCTAATATAAGAGGTTTAAGTGTTTTACGTTCATTTCGATTAGTAAGTCCTTGTAATAGAATTCTTGATTTTTTTTTATAAAGGTTTTTTTGTAATATTCTGTTAAGTTACGTGTATTTAAATTGGCTAAGTCTTGGCAAACATTGAATCGTCTTATGTCAATTATTGGTAAATCACTGGGAGCTTTAGGAAATTTAACATTGGTTCTTATTATTATTATATTTATTTTTGCTGTTGTGGGAATGCAGGTAAATTGAATGAAATTTTAAATGAATTTATTCTTAGTGATTTATAGTTATTCGGTCAAAAATATGCAGATAAATTTGATAAAAATATGCCAAGATGGAATTTCTTTGATTTTTTTCATGCATTTATGTGAGCTTATTTAATATATTTGAATAAAGAAAAAATTAATTTTTTTCTTTTTCAAGGATTGTCTTTCGTGTCTTATGTGGTGAATGGATTGAATCAATGTGGATATGTCTTGAATGTGCTGGATGGCCATGTATTCCATTTTTTCTATTAACGTTTGTCATTGGTAATCTTGTGGTACGTAATGCATACTTAGTGAAATTTCTTAGTCTTTTTTTTTTCTTTATTGAATAGAGCCATCATGACTGAGATATCACTTTAAAGATACTTTATTTAAATTTCAATACTATTTATCTGTAAAGCAGAGACTCTAATCAATGTTCCGCATTGATATCCGAGAACCTATTTGATATATCAGTTAGTGCTCATAATTAAGACATACATAAAATAATCTAGCGCACGTACTCGTTTACATTATATAAAAGACATTTACGAATTCAATTAAAAAACAAAATGAATTTTAAGTTCAATATGTCAGCTATGAAGCGTGTATCAGAAGCTCAAGTACTATATTAAATCGATTTTCTTTCTATCAATATTATGTGATATGGTAGATATGAGATGCTAAACTATTGCATGAATGCTGTAGCGACTATTGGGAGTTAAAAGTTGGAATGACATATATCGTGTATATATATATTTTTTTTTTTTTCTAAATCTTGTCCCATTAGACGTCGAAAAAACAATTTTCTTTCTATTTTTATCTTTTCTTTTTGTTATATTCGTCAAATAAAAAGAAAGATACTACTCTTGTTTATGCAAACCTACTACTATCGAAAAGAAAAAGTGCAACTTTTCAAATCGTTCTACTCTCTTCTTTCTTTCAATGCTGATCAAACTATTTCGCATAAAATTTAATGTATCTGATCGTTCTATTCATACCATTAGCATATGGATAAGACTAATATTTTATTTCTGTGATTAAATTATCAATAACTCTTCTGAAGTCATCATCGGGGTATAAAGAATTAAACAATAAATATTCCACACAGATAAAAGTCTTGTGTGTGAGCCAGTCCATATAAGTGACGATCGATTACTTTACGGTGTGCTCAATCAATATCTTCCGATTTAACTCATTTAAACATATATAATACAGACAACACTTTGATGATTTTTGGGACAAGTCGATTCAAAAACTATCGAACCCTAGATTTGATGAAGGGTCCTATCAAACCCATTAAAACTTGAAGAAATTATTGACATTCCACATTTTGAGAACGACTAGACTAATTCAGCTGAAATTTCCCCGGACACGTAGATCAATACGTTCTACACAAAACAAGATTTTTCTTTCAAACAATTCAGTCCTGATTATTCTATGGATTTTACTAATGAAAACACAAATCACGATTTAGACCAACTCAGATACTTCATATCTCTTGACTACAAGACGATAGAGATCTGAAATTTTTTTTTCACAAACAGATCAATGATAAGTTCAGCTTACTTGAAGAAAATGTTTGTTCAGGACATTTGACAAAATTGGTTTTTAGCCATTAAATCAGCTTGCGTCAAAAATCATCAAAGTATTTTCTATATTATATATGTTTAAATGAGTAAAATCGGAGAGTATTGATTGAGCACTGTGAATCGTCGCTTATGTAGATTGTCTCTTATGATGTTTTTCTTTCTTTTACTGTTCATTGAAATTAAGTCTACGAAGAAAATATGTAGTGAAATACTTATAGGACACTTTCTAATTTTCTATATTGATAGATATTAAATTTATTTTTGGCACTTTTACTTGCATCATTTGGTTCAAATGTTTTAACCGAAAAAGAAGATGAAGAAAATAAAATTGCTGAAGCAATTGATCGTATTCAACGATTTGTTCATTTTCTAATTAAACTTATTTTGCGTTTGTTTGATCGAATAAAACCAGGACAACAACAAAAGACTTCCATTGAAAATAATCATACCAATGGAACTGTAAGTTATAATCATATTTATTAAATCATTTATTTATTATTCAATTTCATTTCATTTTATTTCTTTAGTCACTTACTGCTACACAAGAATTAATTATTAATCTTCCTTTACCAATATTATATAAATTAGAAGAATTCAATGCTTCAATAGTTTCAACTAATGGTTTATCAACAGTACATGAAAATATTGGAACGCAATCAATAAATAATAATTCTATAACATCTCCTTCAACATGGCTAACTCTTCATATGCCACCAGATTGTTGTCCTACAATGATTTCAAAGCATTTTTCTTGTTGTGCTAAATATATTCCAAAACTTATACAAGAACGATGGACATATCTTCGTAGTCTAGTTCATTGTCTTGTTGAACATCAATTTTTTGAATGGTTTATCATTATTAGTATATTATTTAGTAGTGCAACTTTAGTAAGTTAATAAAAGATTAAAACAAAAATTTTAAAAGAATTTTCTTTTCTCTCTCTCTGCAAAGGCTTTAGAAGATGTAAATACACGACAACAGCCAACATTTTCTGAAGTGTTAGCTGTATTTGATAAGATTTTTACAGTTATTTTTACAATTGAATTCCTATTAAAATGGTTTGCATATGGAATAAAAACTTACTTTGCAAGTGGTTGGAATTGGTTAGATTTTGTTATTGTAGTTGTTAGTGTTCTTGGTACTATTCTTGATGCACTTGGCATAGCTGATATTCCAGCATTTAAATCAATGAGAACATTAAGAGCTTTACGTCCATTAAAAGCACTGTCAAGATTTGAAGGAATTCGTGTATGAAAATAATTTATTTAATTGTTTAGTTGTTTTTTTTTTGTTGTTTCCAAATAGGTTGTTGTTAACGCATTGTTTGGTGCTATACCATCAATATTTAATGTTTTACTTGTTTGTCTTGTATTTTGGTTGATATTTTCGATAATGGGTGTGCAATTATTTGGCGGAAAATTTTATAAATGTGTTTATGTTGGTACACATGATCGTGTTCATATATCAGAAAATGTAACGAATAAAATTGATTGTTTAAATAAAAATTTGACATGGGAAAATTCACGAATTAATTTTGATAATGTTCTTAGTGGTTATTTGGCTTTATTTCAAGTTGTAAGTTATTAAATATGATTTAATAAATAAAATAAAAAATATTTTCGAATAGAAAGATTAATAAATCTATCGAGTTACAAAATAAAAAATAAATATTATAAGGAATTTTTTATTTAGACAAATCATCGTTTTTAATCTATACAATATTTCTATATCTGTTATGTATCTTGAAAAGTAACTAACGAGTCATATAAATTATTTTTTTCAAAATTTTCTCGAATAAGATTCATAAAATTATTCTCATTTAATGTACAACACGTAAACAGGATGTTCTTTGAAAATTTAGTTTTATCATATTTTGATAAAGATTAATGTTTGTCTGAAAGTATAGTTAGAGTAGTCCTCATACGAATAAATCGAGTAAAAAGAAAATCTTCAATGTTGATATTATCTCACTCAATTGATAAAACTTGAAAGATTTTTTATCTGAATAAATTCACTTTTCATACTGATTAGCAACTATTTTGTCAAATACGATTCAAAAGGAATGTTTAAGTATAGGAGTAAAAGTTTGGATCCACTTTCACAGACAGATGCGTTAGCAATGCTTCACACATTGTAAACCGTGACAAGTGTTGCTGATATACGTTCACAAACCGAATATGTATCGTAGCTCTCTACGCGTTATACTATATGAATTATTTGCTTATTTTATTTCTGAAGGAATAAGTAAAAGAATCATGAAGAAATGTGTCTGAAAATAGATAGACTGAAACAATCTCTCTCTAATTAACAACATTAGCTACATTGTGCTTAGAGATGTGTAGGACCGTATTTTTTTTCGTCTCAATCCCCCGACCGAGAGAAAATTTTTTCAAAAGTTATTCGTATCGTATGTAAAAAAAAAATTTTCAATACTTTTGTTTTTATTTATTTACTTGACGATTTGCACTTTTTGAATCATCGCTGCTGAATTATATTCTGATTGATATGATTTAGAAAATAATTCGCTTAAAATCATAGAATATTTAACTATAGTCTTTAGTTTCAGTTAGAACAACTTTTTTCTCGTAGTCTTGGTCCAGGTTTTGATGATCGAGATCGGAACTACGGTTGATCATGCACATATCTAATCGTGTTTCACATTTAAATACCGCAGTAATTACATTAATAGCGTAGCTTGCGAATATGTCCATAGTTGTTGTGACGATAATAAAGTTATTGTTTTTGTTTTGTTCTAATAGGCAACTTTCAAAGGTTGGATTGAAATAATGGCTGATGCAACTGATGCCAAAGAAGTATATAATTATTTCTATTAGTCTTTTCGACATCCATATTTCTTTTTCTTTTTTTTATAATACAATTTTTCAGATAGACATTCAACCAGAATATGAAACTAATGTTTATAGCCTTATTTATTTTGTTTTATTTATTATATTTGGTTCATTTTTTACTCTCAATTTATTTATTGGCGTTGTTATTGATAATTTTAATCATCAAAAACGAAAATTAAGTTTTCTTATTAATTTAATATGATAAAAAATAGTGAAATATTGTTTTTTTTTTCAAATTTTAGTTAGGAACTGATGGTTCAATAGAAATGTTTATGACTGAAGATCAAAAAAAATATTATAATGCTATGAAAAAAATGGGTAATAAGAAACCGACTAAAGCATTGCCAAGGCCAAGAGTAAATTTTTCAAACAGATGAATGCGTATATATACACATTAATTTTCTGCTTATTTTAGTTTGCTCTTGCAAGATTTCTTTTTGATTTAACAACAAATCAAAAATTTGATATATTTATAATGATATGTATTTTTCTTAATATGCTTTGTATGTGTCTTGAACATGATAATCAAAGTCATACTTATGATCTTGTTCTTGGATATATGAATAATTTTTTCGTTGCAATGTAAGTAAATAATCAATAATAAGTCAGAAATCTGTTAGAAAAGTTTTCTCCAATGTTACACAAAATATTAAGTAAGATACACACTGTTAACTTTAGTTTCTGATAAATTCAATAATATAATTCACTTTACTCACAATATTTGATTACTAGATATTGCTGATTTGAATTATATTTTAGAAGAATATTTCCAACCAGATTTGACTGAAAATATATGCAGAAAAAGCGTCACTGTACATTGTGTAGTATAATATAATTTTTTTATTAACAAAATAGATTCAAGAGCTAAAATTTTCTCCATTCATAGAATAGAAATATGTGGGATAGTTTAAAATTCACCTCAATGTGCCTCGTATCAAAACAAAACAATTTGTGAGGCAACTTTTTTAGAAATCTTTTGAGAACCTATGCTACAGAGGTTCAGTTGTAAGTAAGTATGAATCAATCAGTTATAGTCGATTTTGTCTAGATGAAAACAATTCTCATAGTTATCGAAGTACAAAGGTACACAATTTTCCTACAAGCATTAATCTGAAGCGAGGAGAATTCCACTACAATATATCAATAGAAAAAGTTGAATGTCACAGTTCATTTAAGTGTTGAGTCAATCACAAACACTCAAACGCAGTAGTTTGGATGTGGATCATTTTTAAGATTTCTCTAATTTTATGCTCTACTGTATAATGTATTTGATCTTTCTCTATTCGTTCGTCAAAAGCAGACTTTGTTCTATGTTTATCACGCATCAGGTTAACAACGTAATAGATGCGACATAAGAAACAATTTAAAAACATCTTTATTATGTCAATGAGTTTGAGTGCTTATCTAGTCGTAAACAGCCGTACTTCGAAGGATACTATGGTTTACATGGGCCAACATACTGATCATGCATCTCCGTATTGTATACAAAGCAACACGATGATTTATGGAGGCAAAGGCGTTCACTTGTTGTCTTCATTAGTGCGTGACGTGAGCAATTATTTTTAATAACGGTCACGAAGGTTTGATCATGACCACGACCACGGTTTCTACTTTGCTTCTTATTGATTTAAAGACGAACATATTACTGTATAGACGTTCATAGAGGTATACGATAATAATACTGAGCTAGATTAATCATCAAAATACAATCGTATAAGATACCACAAGTTTGGTTAGAGCATATATGCAGACTCCATATTGTCTGTCCTCCACACATGTTACAATTATCATTTCATTAGGTATAAAGTAAATCAATTAAATATGGGCTACTTCAAAATATAACATATTAATAATGGTCATTCATGTTTTTGTCATGTTGAAATTTAATGGCATACGTGCCAAATCGTTGTCTTTTCGTCCGAATTTTCCTGATGGAAAATTCTAGGAAATTATAAATGTAATAGTAGTGATCGGTGGATTGTTCTTGCACATTGTGATTAATTAGAACGGGACTAGTTGTTTTGAAAAAGATACAAAACAGGTTTTTTGAAGCAAAGCGGTTGCGCTGAGCCATAGTAAGTGGAGCTCTATCGATTGGTGTTCAGGCTATGCTAGACGATTTTTGTTTTAATTTGCTTATAGGAAAATCATGACTTGTCCCCCATCACTGCTTCATATCATTGCTATGTTCCTTGTTGGAATTTTTCCACAGTCGTTTAATATATTTGAACTCGTTCAAGTCGTTGGTCATCAGTCAACAAGTTGGGTATCTAGCGGGCAGTTATCTTTTTAGCTTCAGACGATCAGAAATAATTCGATCAATGATACCGCGAGTCATACCGGTTTTCACTTATATTTCATCAATACTAATATGAGATTCATCATAAATAAGGCATCGAACTTCTTCAATATTTTACGATGTTGTCTTACTGTATTGTAAGATGGAGCTTGATCGACGAAAACAGAATATAGTTCATTATAAATCAATTTTGGTTTGAATGTTAAGTACAGTACGCATTCCAATGTAGGAGTGAAAATTGTCTTTATTCATCTAAAAATAGGAATGCATAGCTTTCATTGAAATTTTTCACATGATATGATTACTTGACTAATGATGGTATACTATGGGTTTTCTACACTCTAATATAGTATCAATCTCATTAGTTTTTGTGTACTCTAAGTAATATGTGGAAAAAAAAATGTTCGATTCATTTGTCAGAGATAAAAATGATTGATTACATACAATTAAAATCTGAATGGTACTCAAAAAGTTGTAATCTTTAAATTTGATGCAATCAACTATTGTCTCTGTTATATATTGATATTAATTTAGATTTACTATTGAATGTGTTATGAAATTAGTTGCATTAAATTTTAAATATTTTACTATTCCATGGAATGTATTTGACTTTATCATTGTAATTGCATCAATTCTAGGTACGTCGTTTTTTCATTTAGTTTTATTAAAATTATTATTTTTTTCTAGGACAAACATTAGGAGAAATTATGGCAAAATTTTTTGTTCATCCAACATTATTACGTGTTGTTCGTGTTGCACGTGTTGGAAGAATATTACGTCTAGTGAAAGGTTCGATTTGATAGAAATCAATCAATCGTTGACTTTTTAAAGTTTTTTTTTTTTTTTTTTTTTTTTTTTTTACAAAGGAGCGAAAGGTATTCGAACATTACTTTTTGCATTAGTTGTTTCAATGCCTGCTTTATTAAATATTGGACTTCTTCTTTTTCTTGTCATGTTTATCTATTCAATATTTGGTATGTCATTTTTTGCTTATGTAAGAAAATCAGCTGGCATAACAGATTTATTTAATTTTGAAACATTTCCTAATTCAATGATTGTGCTTTTTCAAATGTGTACAACTGCCGGATGGTCTGGTGTTTTTCAAGCATTAACAAATGATCGACCGCCAGATTGTGATCCAACCATAAACACACCATCAAATAAAGGTGATTGTGGTGATACGGCTATTGCAACACCATTTATTGTGAGTTATGTAATAATTACTTCTCTCGTTGTAGTAAGAATTTAAAAATTTTTATTTTGACCTTTTCTGACTTCATATTATCATTTAGGTAAACATGTATATTGCAGTAATATTAGAAAATTTTTGTCAAGCACACGAAGATGTGCAACAAGTAAATAAATGAAAAAAGAAACAGTTGTTTTGGATTTTGTCTTTTCTTCTTGTTTTAGGGCTTAACCGATGATGATTATGATATGTATTATGAAAAATGGCAACATTTAGATCCATCGGGTTCACAATTTATACGATATGATCAATTATCAGATTTTGTTGATGGTCTTGAACCACCATTACGTATATCTAAGCCAAATCATTTAGCACTTGTTGCTATGAATTTACCAATATGTGAACATGATCGTATGCATTGTGTTGATATACTTGATGGTCTTACAAAATATTTTCTCGGTGCACTTCATGCACAAGTAGCAAGGACTGAAGCTGATGTACCAATTGATATAAAAAATGATCGTCCAAAAGATTATCATCCCATAACAACAACAGTACAACGTCATCGTGAACTTTATTTAAGTCGAATGGGTTTAAAAGGTTTTCGAACTAATGTTGAACGTCGTTACAATGAACGACAAAATCGAGAAAAAATATTTCAAGAAGCTATCACTGATGAACTCATGAAATCAGATGACTTCAAAATACCAACATGATTAAAACAACAATGAATATAAACTATTTTTTGATACATCATTAATTTGTTATTTTGTAACGAGATCATCATACTAATAGAACTAAAAAAAACATGCAAGACAATGATTATTTATTAGACTAGGCTTGTTTGCTATAATCGGATTACTCTATGCAGAATTACATTTCTATATACGTATGTATATGATTGCAGTGAAGTTAAATTCAGCGATTGTATAGAGATGTTTACTTGCATTTTAATATAATAAAACAATTATATTCTTTCATATCTGTTGAAAAAAAAAGACTTTGAAACTTATTAATCGAACTACTTCTATTGTATTGAATTTTCATTTTTATCTGATAGATCTATCAGTTTATTGTCACTTACAAATTAAAATCTAAGAAAAGGTCGGCTTATAATTATTTTTCAACATATGAAATATGTTTTTTTCGTTTTCAAAAGATATCTCAATGAATACAATAATAAATATGAGTTTATAAACGATTTTCTTTGACTGTGATTTTAATGGCCAATAAAATAGATGATATAGTTTGTAAGGGTGAGGGTGTAGGATGCGGATATCGAGGAGCAAAAGACTAGAATCCACACATCCTCCTCTTTCAACCCAAAATCACATCTACATCCACATTCTCTTTCATTAGCAATGATCAAAATGATATAATAACTTTTTCATATCAAATCATAAGACGAAAATACTCTCTTTACTGATGCACTCTCTCTTAAATGATTTAACTTGTGAGATGACTTCCATTCAGTTTTTATATATCTATTGTACTTTACTGTCGATCAATTTTTTCAAAGTACATCGATAAAGTATTTTGTAGCAGCTAATTATTATTTTTATTGACAATGAATAGTCTAATCTCTTCTTGATAAATTTTACATCGATTTATACTTGAATGTCTGTTCTTGTTCGATTGTTTTTTTTAAGCTGATTAACAAAAGTATACATTTACTACAAGAAGGGCGATAACTACCACTTCAAACTTAGACATTATTGGTCAAGAATCATATTATTTTATTCTCATTAAGGCATCATTTTGTGAACATCTATCAATTTATCGTCTTTCGTCACGATTTAAACAATTACAAGTTAATGTCAGCAGTTCTGAATTGAAGTAAAAGAAAATCCTAGCACAATCTTTTACCATCTTCGTCCACATATATATAATCTTTCTATTTGTTGCTGAAAAGAAAAACAAATAATTACAATAAATAAGCACCTAAGTAATATTTAAATAGTTATGAATATTTATGAACAGAGCTTGAAACTAAATAGCCGTTCATCAAGATATGTTCATTTTGACGTTTTTTGCTTAAAAAAAAAGCAGACCATTTAGAATAAATTAGCTAAATATCTATTAAATAACTAAAAAACTTCATTAAAAAGTGGTGTTAATCCTTAAATAGTGCTTTGAATTAAATAGCAATCTATTTAGTGAGATTGATAATAAATAACTGAATGTCTATTAACTGGCATCTTGCCGACAATCTGCATAACAAGAGAAAAAAAAGAAGATTAAAAACGAAGCATGATTTTTTTATACAAAAGGATAAAAAAAAAGCTCTCACAAGAAACTCGAAAGATGAGAGCTATTCTTCATTGTTGATATTTACTGTCCTATGATTCTTGGATCTACTAAGCTCAAAGCGAGAATACTAATGAAAAATCGACTAAATAAATAGAGCCTTCTGCACAAGTATTTGACTCTAATGTTTTACTTGAGCTAAACATACGCAGGCCAAAATATCGAAGTAAGAAAAAATTTCATATTCAATATTTGTTTAGGTTATCTAGTTATATGTTTGAAGAAGTTGTACACTATAACGAAACGTCACACGATTTAAATAAAAATATGAATCATACTATATTAAATTAAGTAAATCATTATTTAGGAAGAGAATTCAAAATGACTACAAATTTATCAAGCTTCCTCACAAAATTCCAATTAAACTAATTGTTAATTGAATAGCCACAATATTAAGAAGTGCTGATCGTACATTTCCATTTGTATTATAAAGATGATCAATATATTTTTTCAAGAATTAGATTTAAAATAATAATATCAGTTGAATAAAGAAAAGTCACAACAGCTCCTAATACTGAAATATGTTTATTTTTTCGTTTTTAAATTTGTTAAACATGATTGAATATAAGCAACAACTTCTGGATAATAACATGGAATATACCAAATAATAAGTAACAATAATGCATCAATAGGTAACACTAGCATTGGACTTATGAGCATATTAGTAAATAAAAATACAAAAAAAAGCCAAGTAACTCTTCAAAATTAGAACCATCACTAATAACGAAATTTAGTCAAACGAATATCGATGATGATGATGATATTATTTAAAATGTATAATAAAAAATCTTTGTTTATTTGTTTAATCTGTTTATGTTAGAGTCACAATAACTTTTTACACATAGAAAATTTATTTGGTTATGAATTCGTTATATAATGATCCCAATAACTAAATTATCGCAGATATAATAAAAAATATTGATGCAATTATGAAAAAAGAATTATTATTAAGACGAGGAATTAAAGAAAGACTAACAGCAAATGCTCTATTTGTACCAGATACTTTATTAAATATCTGAACTAATATATCAATTTATTGTAATTTGCGACATTTTCATCAACTATATCTTTTGGAATAACTACTCGTCAAATCAAATCAAACATTCCATATGTTACACCAGTTATACACTAGATAGAAACTAATTATTTCATCACTATTACATTTTCCATAATAACTAATATCATTTTTCTTTTTTTTTCTGAAACTTATCTGATTCAACATATTCTCTGGTAACAGCATCAATTTTCATAGGAATAGCTGTAAAAAATCCAAGAATTAGGATTGTTACTTGATAAAAAGTTCGTGTTGCCCAACAGAGCTATTATTCTTGAAAATGTATCTGATGAGTCTAATACGAAGATATGCATCTTGAGCCTAACGATTTGCCAGTAATGTGATTATTGATTTATGATATGCTTCAAGATTCAATTTAGACAATATTATACTATTTCGTTTTTCTCTTACATAAAATAATCAAAATATTTCAACAAAACTCACTTTTTTCATTAATATTCTTTTAAAAGTAAAATTGAAATATTTATTTTTATGAAGAATACATTTTCATATCTAATTCAATGATTTATTCGTAACGACATTATCTTCGATATTTGTGTTAGGAACTAACATGTTATAAATCTTAGTGAGAAAAATGAGTCATATCAAGATTCTATTATTAACTATTGGTTTATTCTACAGTAAACATCGTCAAAATGGATAAGATGGTTTGGAAGTTTTTAGTACGTTATCGGATAATTTCTGATAGATCGTATAAAATTCTTCCTAATCTTAGTGTCTCATACAAAGTTTTAAACTTATTGACTCTTTCGTTTTGTATGTTCATTTGTACGTATCTATTTTCAATTGGAGTATCTGTAAAAACTGCGGACACCGATGAACACCCATTGTTACCTTGGTTTTAATTGTAAAACATCTTGTATAATTTAACAATCAAATCAATCGTGAGTGTTTATGCCAACGAAAAATGATATATTTCAGTTGAAAGAAAAAATTGCAATCTACAATGAATGCCCGTTGATGTTCCTGCACTACTTGTTTCGAACTCTATATGGCTTGGTAGTTTTCGTGCTGTTCACAGTTTTTACCCATAGCTTCTACATTGAGATTTTTTTTTGTGAAATATCTATTTTCTTCGAAAGTTAATTCTCGATCAATCGATATTGAAGAAAACGGCAACAGATCAATGATGAAGATGAAACCACCTGGGAGCTGTTCATACAAAAACCAAACCGACTTTGCGTTATTTGATCCCTATTGGCTCATGTTTTTCAAACGGGACTAACAAACGAGAATAATATTAAATTTAATAAGAAAAAACCAACAAAAGCAATCATTCTTCTGCTTCTCATGAAAAAAACTAGGGTGTGGAGGTCGAGATAAGCGGGTTAAACTGTGGATGACAGTGAAGATCTGGGGTGGATTCACATCCACATCCACAGCAGACGATTTTTTGGTAACTAAGAAAAAATACATATTTTTGTTACTAGTTTTTAGTAATAACTAATTGATAGTGTATACATACTTTATGCCTTAAAATAAAAAAGAGCTTAGGAGAATTTTTTTGTTCAGTTTTGTGAAAACCATCACTACTATGATTTAACTACATTTAAAAACCAATTGAAAATAACTTTTCTCTTTATTATTCAAAAGACAAAAAAATTCATATCATTCTGAAAACTCTTTTATTCCAAGAAAAAAAATCAATTCATACCGTTTCTAGTGTTGTTATTAAACACAGAAACGCAGTAAGTATATGAAAAAAAAAGTTGACAAATGTCATACTATATTTGTATTGTTGACGTCTTCAAAGTTAGGCGCAAGCAATTGACGAATAAAAGAATCATTTTTGCATCTAAAGAAAAATTCAAATATAAAAAGTATAAAACTGATATATATATATATATTCGAATTAAATATACCCGTCAATAAATTCTTGTTTATTCAATTTATTGTCGTGATCCTGATCGAGTTTTTTTATTATATCGTCGGCTCGTTGTTTTGGGTCTTTTTCACCTTTACGGTCAGTTACACCAACAAGATTATACTGAAAAATCACAGAACAAAGTTCGTTTTATTTGTAGACTTTCACTTAAACTATACCATAACAGTGATCAATGCTATCAGTTCTTCGCGATCGATGTTTTTATCATTCGAAGTATCATACCTATATGTCAAAGAGATCGTAAGTTGAACAAAACATTTAAAAGTTTACATATCAAAAGTGAGCTCAAGACGAGCATCAAGAGGTCCCTGACTTGCAGGTGAAACAGCTATAAGAAATTCATCGAAACTAATTGAATTATCCATATCAGTGTCGAATATTTTAAAAATATAACTGAAAATGATTAGATATTTTTGTAATTAAATGATATTATTCGATCAGATTATACTTGCAAAAAATGTCTGCTTTGTCGGGTAGATAATATTTCTTGTAAACTTGCCTAAATTCCTTCTTGTCAAGTTTACCATTGGGGCAATCACGGAGAAACTCCTAATATTACAACAGATACATTAAAAAAACAAAAAAATCATCAGTGCAACCAACCGCATGCCATTCTTGTATTTCTATATATTAAAAAGAACAAATAGATATGAACGAAAAAAAAAGAGAGAAATTACCGGCTTCAGAAAATTTAGTGACGTGTTTGAGTGCATCAATACCTAAAAATTATGAAATAAAACATTAAATTTTGGCATAAATCAACTTAAGTTACGCACGTTTCGCAGTTAATCCTGTCGATCCAGATATTTTAGTTTTTTTATTACCCATTATGAAACGATAATTCCCAATCAATAGTGAACGATTCAAATTTTTTAAATCTGAAAGAAGAGGGTTTTTCAATATTCTTCTTCACAAATTTATGAATTTCGACAGCCTTCGTCGAAGGTATTCATCGAGCAAAAAAAAAAGAGATGATAAAAAGTCAATATGATGTAGATGAGGTGGAGTGGGGTGGGTGTGGGGTATGGGGTGTGAGTGTGGTGTGGTTGTCACTATGACTGCTTTTATGGTTGAAACGAAGCGCGAAATAGAAACCTACACCGATGTTCTCTCACACGCATGCACTGTATAAGCTCACCCAATCACATCCACATTTTCATGGTTCAAGTGACATATTAGGAACACAATATTTATTGTTTAGATAGTTAGTTTTCATCTTCCAACTTTGATTCTATTTCAGTATTTATGCTCTTCGTGTAGGCCTTAATGAGTTCTATTGCGTCGTGCCATCCACCTGGTACATTCGTACTTGATTCGTCGTCCTCTATTGCTATCCATCCCATAGTCAAAACAGATAGCAACGCAAATGTAATGAGAATAATAAAGGTTAATGATGTTACGTTTAATTCATAGTAATATAGAAGGGAAATAGCGGGAATAATCAATCCCGGTATTGAAATGTAAACTAAGGTTGTTATTACAACAACCCAAGGATATTTGTACTGGCGCAGGTGGAAAACACTGCAGTGGCAGGGTATAAAAAAGCGGCAGCAGCGAGTTGGGCTAGTTATTTTATTGATACCAACAGTTTTAGCCACCATGCGATGTATGCCGTTTGCTACACCTAAGCGCTTTTGAAGTACATAGAGGTATAGACGTATTAGACTTTCAGCAATACTTCCCAAAGCAGTCAATAATCCTGCAGTAACGCCAATTTGTGTCGTAACATCCGATGTTGTTATGTCACGCACAATCCAACGAAAGCATGTTCCACTGTGAGTATCTAATGGAAAGCTGACAGTGTCGCCAGTTTGGCATACAAAATATGTTTGATTATTACCACAGAAACACTCCATTGGACCATAGTTAGGACATGGACCATCTCGATAAACAGCTGTAGTGGCTAGGAAAAGAGTGTTGAAAATAGCAATAATAGCAGCTGCGATGATAATTGTAGTTATGATTGTTAGGGAAATTTTATTTATTACTCCATCTGAAGGAAGAAACTTTCCATACATGTTCAATATTGTTCGTTTGTATTCTGGATGTGACGAAGGATATTGCAAGGCTTCTTCTTCTTCTTTTTTCGGTGAGTGGTCGCGGACAGGAACTGGATTTTCGAGATCCTCATCTCTGTTAGATGCTTTATCAGTAGGCGTCCTGGGGAAACGCGAAATTTTCGAAACAAAATTAGTCGCTTTAGTTATTGGAGCACTTGAGGTATTAACTGTGGAATTTCTTCGAATAATATGGTGTACATCAATAGTACAACGTTTAATATTGAAAAGTTTAGCAACAACACTGAAGAATAATTTATCGAAGAAACATAGTAAAATAACCAACACGAAAAGTATAAATAAAAATATAGCAGTGCTAATGAAAATATTACACCAAACCCACTGCCAATAAGTCCAAGCCATTTTAAGAATGAAAGAGATAACCTAGAGAAAACATTGAAAAATAACATTTTTGAACTGTATTGAATGAAGTAATATTTAAACAATATGTTTGAGTGCGCAAAATAGTCCGTTATTCCAAAACCTCACCCAATAAAGTTTTGGATGCGGGGTTAACGGTGGACGTGGAAGTGAGAGTGGAACCGAGTGTATGTATGGGTGGATGGGTGTATGAATGTGGTTTTGGATAGATGTACCCACCATCCATAAATTGGGAATTCAAGGAAATCAAATGGAATTCAGTGATTAGAGCACCCACATCTGAATTGTATGTGCCGATCTTTGTAACTTCGTCAATTGAATTGTATGCGGCAGTGTTTCTAGTCCTCTCACAGTAGAATTCATTGAGATTCCATGAGTTTCTTGGGTTCCTCGAATTCCATCTCACTTGCTGTTAACATTTCAATTTCTTGATGATGGGTATTGCTGATTTTCGTCGAAAGCAGCTATGTCAGCTCATCAAGAAGACTTGAGCATTTTTCAATATTGTTACATTAATTAGACGATTATTGATATCAAAGAATATCGTCAAAATTTAATCATTAATGAAAGAAACTCATTGATGCTACTATGTGTTCAGAACTCAGTTAGAATAAATATATTTGAATTTATTGATAGATTCACGAAAAAATTGGCTAAGCCGCTGCGTTTGCAGTAGAGGTAAGATGGCCCTAAGAAATACAACTCAGCAAAATAAAATTAACGGACCACCGATATATTTGCATAGATCGATGCTCACGGACCAAGGATAAAACAGAAAAGAGCTACGAACATGTAAAGTTGTTGTGACGCAGGTGACACCTCTTCACAGGCTCTTAGAATCTTACTGGGATTTCCATAAAATCGAATGGAATTCTACGAAATCTGAGAGAACTCTAGAAACATACAGGATGTCCCAAAAGTAAGGGAACAAAGTAAGAAAACAGCATATTCTTTCCAATTTTTTCTTAATAGATCGATAGGTAGATCTCATATTTGGACTACATATACTATATGATAATACTCAGAAAAGCACTCTTTGTCCTTAAGATTTTATTGAAAAATGCTCGAATGCCTCTCGTACACCCTTATTTAACTGTCACAGATATCTTTTTTTTATCGAAGTCATTTTATTTCGTTCTGTTATACTTCATCTATGAATAATTTTGTTTGCAAATAGTCGAAAACAGCTTAAAAATCAAAAGAATTGACATCATTTAGTACGCGCTAATGTAAACAGACAAAAATATTGAAACAAAATATAACAGAGAAACAATAAACTTCTGCAATAATCATATTAAAGTACAAAAGAAAGCTTTCTGGTTTTTTTCAACAAAATCTTAATGGCAAACCACTGATGTTAGGGTACTTTTCTGAGTATTATCATATAGTATATGTGGCCTAAATATGAGATCTAACTGTCGATCTATTAAGAAAAATTTGAAAAGAATATGCTGTTTCCTTACTTTGTTCCCATACTTTTGGGCCACCCTGTAGGAAGATTCTAGACATGAGAATTTTAGGATTCTGCCATCCGCTTCTTGATTTGTTGCCATAGTGTCAAAAGTATCAGCTGCTTTTGAACGCACTATCCATGTGAATTTTTTTTCCATTGTAAACTATTTATAAGCGGCTTAGATTAGCTTATATTTTCGCTTAAACTATTGTTTTAATCGCTGATAAGCGCTTAATAATGTTCCAAGCACTTTTAAGCGACTTAAAATGTGCGCTTACAAGCGCTTTGAAGCGAAATTATAAGCTACTTTAAGCTAGCTTTATTGCTTAAATTATCACGTAGAACAAGAGGGGTGTGTGAATAGGGAAGGAAAGCTACCGTTATGCTATCAGTAACTGGCAACAGGTGCAGTTTTTGTTTCTTGTTAAATTAGCTGATCTGTGACAATAACTGACCACAATTGTGTTCTAGGGAAAATAACTTACTGTTATTTAGCGAAGCAACTGGGGGCTGGTAAGCTATCAATTACTTGATAGCCAGTAACTCGACCAGTTAGTAATTGTTTGGCTAGGTAGTAGTAAGTTCTGATTCTTAGATCACATGGATGGAAAATTACTATTGCAGATCAACTGCTTTACCAAGCAACAAAAACACTGCCCATTACTAGTTGCCAGGTAACGATTAACGGATCTGTTACCGTTACCTGATAAAGTAACTGTCTGGTAACGGTAACTTCCCACTCCTAAGCACAATTTAAGTGAAAAGCAACAAAATGGAATTTAGAATTCCTCTCCGCTTTTGTTTCAACGATAGTAAGATGAAAAGAGGCAACTTGCACTTTTTTAGATTCGGGCATACTATTTGTGCTATGTTCACTTTGGAGGGCTGCGCAATACGACTAAAAATTGTATTATGGAGGAAATATGACCCCCGGAAACTCAGATTTTGAAAACTAGTATTGTCATGTAGTCTCATGCTCTGCCATTTGCTCTTTCAAAAAAACCTAGACTTTGCAGAATTTTCAGTCTTAACAAGTTTCATGTAGTCCCATTTACTTTCATGTAGTCTAATATGATACCATGTATAAAGTCGTAAAACCTAGACTTTGCAAAAATTTGTAGTTGCATGTAGTCTCATGCATTGCATAAAAAGTGCCACGACTGTGTATTTCCATGTGATGTTATGACCCATCCACTCCGACAACCACACTCCACATCCATTACGTGGGACTACAAATTCTGCAAATTCTTGGTTTTCAACTCAATACGTTATACTACATGAGAGTGCAAGGCTAGTGAAGAGAAATACATAGATTGTTGGCATTAAAAATTGTATTCGTATTTGTGTATCTCTGTCGCTTTGGAATCTCACAGAGTGCAGAACCACTCCACAGTGGGAAAAAACCGGTGTGGGCAGGGCGTAAAAATGGGGTGGGTGTGGGGTGTTGGTGGGTGTGTGGCGGTGTGGGTAAACTTCTCAGTCGACCTAGATCCATACTCTACTAATGCTCGCACTTGTAGCCACACCAAGGGGGAGGGAGTGAGCGAGACTCCATCTGCTTCAAAAAACGATTGAAGTACAGGTGAAGTAGAGTGAACTACGCACTCCTGAAGTTTCGCTTTTTTCTTCTTTACCCGTCAACACCGTTCACCACTTCCATAAACATTCATACCCCACTAACACTCGCATCCTCATCAGCTCCTCACTAAATTCTGATGAACTCTTGTAGAATTTCTGTTGGTTTCGTAAACTCTACAAGGTTTTATTGTCTTCGTGGCTGTTAAAGGATTTATGAAAATCCAGCGTATCATAAACTCTTGAACGTTTTATGGAAATGCATAAAATCCTGTAAGTTTTATGAAAATTTGATTACTAGTCTATGAGGCTAATAAATGCTTAGCGTATGAGTTATCATTCGGTGATTTTTTTACAATTGTTGGGTATCTTTACGAATTTGTGTATGGATGTATAGATGCGTGGGTGTGGAGTGTGTGAGTATAGGTTTGAATTAATGGAAGATCCGCATCAACGTGCACAACTACATTCAAATCCTAGATGAATACTTTTTGAAATAATCAAGCAGCTGAGTGATGATTTGTTTGTTTTACGTGACAAAAAAATATGTGTTAGAGTCGATGATGATAGACATCGATTCTAAACGAAGATTAGGATGGTTCTTCTAATCTATTTGGCTTACAATATCTGCTCAGATAGCAGAATGTACGTAGCTCGATTTCCACCATGGATCATCTTATTCTCCATTCCATCTCATATGATCAGTGACACTGCCTAGTCCATACGCTCTATCTATATCAATGCGAAAAATTAGGATGGGCTGATCGAAAAGGTTGCGGATAGTGATAAATACTGGGAGCAATGAAGATCTAATATATTTTCACTTTTTTTATGCTCACTAGCTCGTGCTGGTTCAACACAAAATACACTGTTGTCGTTCGGTGAAAAAAATGATGAATGAATGACAGCTTTCTACCACACAATAAAAGTCTTTTTCTTTTTCTGCCTAACCTTGAGCAAGTAGACCGATAAAAAAAATACTTCATTTTTGTTTATATTGGCTACAGTAGTGTCATTGTTTACTTTATTCTGAAGTCTTACGGTAGAGAGAACAACGTTGATCAAATATAAATTCGATTTTTTCCCAGTGAGTAGTCGTATGACACTTTTTACGTTGTTATCTTTTGTGGAACTCACATATATTTTCGAAGAAAATAGTGAGTGCAAGTGTTAAGTTCGAGTTTTTAGGGTGGGGTGTGGGTGTAAGGGTGTACATCTTGATGCTTTTAAGTCAGTGTGAAAAAACAAAGGACACTCACATCTGCACCCACAGCCACACTACGTGTCCACACCCGCACTCAAACCCACACCCACACCCACACCCACACCCACACCCACACTCACACCCACACCCACACTCACACCCACACCCACA